CGATCCGTCTGAGCTCCTTCTTGGCGAACCAATTATTGTTGATCTTGATGGCGCAGCCGCCAGCCTTCATGACGAAGCGACACCGAGCCCAGCCGAACAGCACGTTGTGGTGGTACGGCGCCGATGGCGCGCGGTGGGCTACACCAAGCCGCGCTCGCACGCCCGTGCCAGGCAAGCCGAAGAACCCGACGTTGCGCAGCACCGCGGAGGCCCCCTCGGGGCTGTACGCCGTGTCCAACGCGTGGGGTTCCCAGCACCCCGCGAAGCTCCAGCGCACGGCGAGGACGGTGCCGACGAGGGAGAGGAAGAACCGCTTCAGCATGGCCGTCAGCCCCACAGGGGGGCACAGCGAGCACCTGGGCCGCCGGCGTGCTGCCTGCCCCCCGCCAGGGGGCGGCACACAGGAGTCAGCGCCTGCGGGCCGCGGCTGCCCCCATTGCAGAGGGGCGGTCCTCGGCGGGCCGCCTCTGGAAGGGGGGGTCTGGGCCGCGTCGGCGGCTGGAGGAGGAGGAGGAGGAGGAGGAGGAGGAGGAGGAGGAGGAGGAGGAGGAGGAGGAGGAGGAGAAGGAGGAGGAGGAGGAGGAGGAGGAGCAGGAGAGGCAGAAGGAGGAGGAAGGAATACTTTACCAAATTACCATCCAAAGTAGTGGAACAACACGGAGATGCCGCATCACGGAAGCAGATAGTAGGATGAGAGACAACGGCAGAAAAATGACAAGGTCAGCCCTCATCAAGGCACGCCTCTCTCCGAACCTCCGTTACTCGGCTGACCACGAGCCAGACTGGTCAGCAGCGTGCCGACACGTGCTACGGCAGGTTCGTGTCGTCGTCGTCGTCGTCGTCGTCGTCGTTCGTTGCTGACACTGCGCGGCTCGTTCAACGTAGAACGATCGCGGCTTTCCGATAGCGCAGGTCGTTCGGTGTCGGTCGATTCCCGCCCACTGGCGGCGTGCACCTCCAGGAACTTGCGAAAACTTCCGAACCCCTGAACAAAAACAGGAACGTCACTCACTCTCTTGTTGATCGATGTCGGCCGACTCCTGGCCATTGGCGGCGTTCAACCAATCCCCCCAGAAACTCACAAAAACATTGTTTGGAAACTCCAGAGAGAAAAAAAATAACGGACCCCACATTTCGGGCCACAGCTCGGATCTCCGGCGCCTGCTCGGGACGATCTGGGCCCCCCCGGAAAGCTCGCGGCAAGGCGCAGCTGCCAGAACTGAAGTGGCCCCGGGACACACAAATAAATACACACAAATAAAAAGATTCCCCCATATTTTCCCATATTTTCTTGGTTTCTGTCTTCCCCCCCACTTCCCATATTTTCCCATATTCTCTGGGGAATCGAGGATTAATTGTGTCTGTGTGTTTCTTTTCCTCCTGAAGAACGCTTTCCCGAGGCAGGAAAACCTCCAGGAGTCGCCGAAGACGCCCCGCGGAGAACGTCGCTCCAGCGAAGGGCCGCCCTCCGGCCCCTGGCAAGGGGGAGAGCTGGTGTTCGTCAGCGGGGGGCCAGGAGACGTAGGGTGAAGAAGCGTGCACCCTTCGTGCACCTCTTGTAGAGAGCAGAAAATCCACCCCCAGAATAAGCACACCGACCAGCGAAGCCGTTTAGTAAACGCACCCATGAAGGAATCGAACAGGGCAGGGCTGTTTAGTGAACGCCCAGGGCTGTTTAGTAAACGCGAATTGTCGGGGTCGGGGTGGTTTTTCCACCCTTGATCTTGGGCCCGCGGCGGCAGCTTCGGGGCCCTTTTCAGGCTGCAGGGCACCTTGAGGGCCACTTTCATGCAGTCCTCGATCCCTCCACGTTTGTTGCCCCCCCTGCTGTCGTCCGTGCGAGAGGCCGCGTTCGGGCGGGTGGTGGTGTAAAGGGCCCCACGGAGCTCTTCGGAGCCCCTTTGGAGCCGGCAGGGGCCCATAAGGGGCCCTAAGGGCCTGCAGGGCCCCATGCAGGGCCCTTCTCCCCCGCCCAATATACAAACCACCCCCCCTTCCCACCCGCACGACACGTGCGCAAGTCCTCGGAGTCCGGCACGCCGTCACCGTCCGTGTCCCTGGGCGGGGCGGCCGGGGCGGGCGCCGCCGCGCAGCCTGGGAGGGGGGGGGGGGGGCGGAGGGCGGGGTCCTCATGCTCGTCCTGACGCTCCTGGTGTTCCTCCTCCTGCTCCTCGTGTTCGTCCTCGTCGTCCTCGTCCTCGTCCTCGTTCTCCTGCTCCTCGTCCTCGTTCTCCTCCTCATTGTCGTCGTCGTCGCCGTCGCCGTCGCCGTCTCCGTCGCCGTCGCCGTCGTGGTCGTGGTTGTCGCCGTCGTGGTCGTGGTCGTGGTCGTGGTCGTGGTCGTGGTCGTGGTCGTCGTCGTCGTCGTCGCACGTCGTCGTTGTCGTCGTCGTCGTCGTCGTCGTCGTCGTCCGTCGTCCGTCGTCCGTCGTCCGTCGTCCGTCGTCCGTCGTCCGTCGTCCGTCGTCGTCGTCGTCGTCGTCGCCCTCGTCCTCGTCCATCTCCTCCTCGTTGTCGTCGTCGTCATCGTCTTCCGTCGCCGTCGCCGTCGTCGTCGTCGGCGGCGGCGGCGCCGTCGTCGCCGTCGTGGTCGTGGTCGTGGTCGTCGTCGTCGTCGTCGTCGCCGTTATGGCGGTCTTCGTCTTTCACTGCTCACTTCTAAAGAATTACTACGTACTGCTGATCTCCTCCTGCTCCTCGTGCTCGTCGTCGTCGTCGTCCTCCTCCTCGTCCTCCTCCTCCTCCTCGTCGTCGTCGTGGTCGTGGTCGTCGTCCTCGTCGCCGCCGTCGTCGTCGCCGTCGTAGTCGTCCGTCGTCGTCGTCGTCCGTCGTCGTCGTCGTCGTCGTCGTCGTCGTCGTCGTCGTCGTCGTCGTCGTCGTCGTCGTCGCCGTTATGGCGGTCTTCGTCGTTGACTGTTCATTTGTAGGGAATGATTACTGCTGATCTCCTCCTCCTCCTCCTCCTCATGCTCGTCCTCGTTGTCCTCGCCCTCGTCCTCGTCCTCGTCCTCGTTCTCATCCTCCTCCTCCTCCTCCTCCTCCTCCTCCTCCTCGTCGTCGTCGTCGTCGTCCGTCGTCTGTCGTCGTCGTCGTCGTCGTCGTCGTCGTCGTCGAGGCAGTGGTCGTGGTCGTGGTCGTCGTCCCTGTCGCTGTCGCCGTCGCTGTCGCCGCCGCTGCTGCTGCTTCCGACGCCCCCCACGGGAAGGCCCTGATCTTGATTCCTCGCACAAGCTGGCACCTGCGTCGTGCTTCGCCACGCGCCGACCCAGGACCGGGTAGGGCCCTCTTGCGCGGAGCACTGCGGGCTCACGCTTGGGCCCTCCCGCCCCCCCCCCCGCGTTTCTGGCTGCGGTCGCCCACGTGAGCCTTCGGAAGTTGTTGATGCGCCGGCCCCCCTTGAGGACGTCTCTTGTTGACCCTGGGGCGGCCCGTCAGGCGTTGGGGCCTTTCGAGGCGAACCCTGCCGTGGCGACGGGGGGTCTTTGGGGTGCGGTGGTGGGCTGGACCGAGGGAGTACTCAGAAGCGTCCTTCACGAGACGGCTTGGATCTGCGCACTCAGCGGCCGTCCCGAGGGTCCTCGCGGGGGTGATTTCTCTGGGATCGATGCGTGGCTGTCCGTCGTTTGGGGCCCTCTGGAGACCTTCCTACGAAGGTCGGGGCTGGGACAGGCTAGGGTTACCAGGGGTCGCCTGCTGCCCGGCAGATTCGCTAGAGAGGCCGTGCCCGCGGCCTCACACGCGATCCGACAAGGTCCAACCAACCAATCAACCAAGCAACCTCCCTCCGTCCTCCTGCACATCCCTCCTTAATCCTCCATGCTCTATCCTCCAGCCTGCGTCCTCATCCTGTCTCCTCCTCCCTCCTCCTCCATCCTCCATCCCTAGTCCTCCGCCCTTCCTCCTCCTCCTCCTCCTCCTCCTCCTCCTCCACCTCCTCCTCCTCCTCCTCCTCCTTCTCCTCCTCCTCCTCCTCCTCCTCCTCCTCCTGCTCCTCCTCCTCATGCTCCTCCTCCTCCTCCTCCTCCTGCTCCTCCTCCTCCCCTCCTCCTCCTCCTCCTCCTCTCTCCTCCCTGCCTCCCTCCCTCCCTCCCTCCCTCCCTCCCTCCCTCCCTCCCTCCTTCTCCTCCCTCCCTCCCTCCCTCACTCCCTCCGCAGAGCGCCGCCCCTCCGGCCCCGCTTGCCGCCGGCCTCGGCCCCGCTTCTCGCAGCACCACCTTCGGGAGGCGAGGCGCAACGACGCCCAAACTCGGCGGCGAGCGAGGGGGGAAGTGAGACGGAGACGACCTTCTCAGAATGCGGAGGGACTTCTCAAAAACCCTCGCCCCTTCCAAAAAGTATTCTGTGTCTTCGGGGAAGGCTTAGAACACTTCTCAGAAAGCTGGGGGACGTCCGAGCCTTCTGAGAAGGCCCGTCCCTTCTCACTTATCCCCTGGGCTTGCCGCCGGCAAACGAGAAACGCGTTAAGAAAATCAAGAACCTCAAAGGCCCCATCGTTGCCAAAGCTAGGGTTTTTGTTCTGTGGCGTGCTACCTAAGACGAGGCCAAGACGATAATAATATCGGGTGAGGATAAATCGAGAACCTCTGAAATCCGGCGGCTCTGGAGGATGCCTCGGGCGCCGCGGCCTTCTCAGAGCGTTCCAGAACGCTCTGAGAGCGCTTCTGGAATGCTCTGTAGCGGATTTATGCTCGTCCCAGCCCCGTCTGGTCTGTGGCGTGCTACCGTCGTCCACCTACGGGGGCGACGTGTCAGAATTCACCCCGCAGGAGATTCGGCTCCTGCGCAGGACTGCGGCCAGATTGCTGGGACTGCTGGCTTCGAGCACCAAACAGTTGGGATGGCATCTCTATCCCAAATGTGACCCATTGAAGTTAGCGGCCAGCACGTTCAAGAGGTACTGTACAGAATGGTGGCAGGATTCGGATGAGGCCTTAATGGCAAGGGGATGGATTGGGGGTTAAACAGCTTAGCAAGGCGTTCCACACCATCCCCACCACCCTTGGAAACATCCCTGAGAGAGCGGCCTGGCTGCTCAAATCCACGGGGCCGCTATCTGACATGCACTTGTGGATGCGTGAAGCCAGATGGGAGCACGAGCATCCTAACATTTTCATGGGTAGAGATGGGGCTGGGCATGAGCTCACTGGTATTGATCCTACGTTTATCACGAGTGCTTTCGTTGCTGACGCGAGGGAAGCCTATCTTCAGCGCGCCCTGAACGTCAAGTTGAGCGACAGCCGCCACCTCGCCGCCTACTTGCTTGTGAAGGGTTCTCCGCGTGCCACAAACGTCTCCTCGAGGCTGTTTTCAGTGATGCGTATGTTACTGGGGTTGATCTCGCTCGTTGGGGTTACCGCACCACTGGTCGATGCCCATTTAGCGGAGCTCCCGACACCATGTTTCACAGATGCTGGGTCTGCCCACGCTTCGATGCGGAGCGCGACGCGATCGATGATGAAGTGTTGGCCATGGCCTCGAGTACGGGGGAGCTGGATCCATTGTTCACCCACCTATGGCTAAAGCAAGGTGTTTTGAACCTGACGAGGCCCATATCCAGTAGTTTACGTTTGAATGGTCCATTCCTCCCTTTTCCCTGTCCCCAGAGGCCCGCGCCTTTCTAGACGGGAATTGTTTCGATGGGACCAAACCGAGGGTGGCCCGAGCGGGCTGGGCGGTGGCTGAAATCGACGAGGTTGGAGGCCTCCGACGGGGCATGAAGGGACCCGTCTCATGGTGCCTGCCTCAAACTGTGCTTTCCCAGATGTTGGGGTTCGCGCAAGCTAAACTCGCCTGTCCACGCCCAGAATCTGCCATTCAACCACCCAGCACATGTAGATTGCCAGAGTGTTGCACACGGGGCTCATAAGCCGGTGCGTTCTCGGATCCACAGCTTGGACAATGCCGGCTGGTGCTGGCTGGTGGAGGCTCATCCTAAACCCCAGGTTGAGCCCTGTCAAAGTCACAGAGATGAGGAGGCGGCCGCTTCAGCCAAAGACCGAATCCACCTTCGTGGCAACGTATGGGCCGACCGCTTCGCTAAAGAAGCTGCGAGAGAGAATGGAGCCTCCAACGAGGACGATCGCACTTCCAGCTGTGGTTATGAGCTGTGCGAGGATGTTGCGAAGGCGATGCTCCAAATGTTCGAACGTTGGCCACCAAACAAAGGGTTGTTCGGTGTGCTCCCCCGTGGCCCTCGACCCCTTCCCGTTGCCCCTCGGGCTTTCGCTCCCATGCTCCTATCTGGGATGGTGGCCGACGGCGGTGCCGAGGGTGCTGCAGAGCTGGCAGCAGACTTCTCTCTCCAGGACGTGCTGCCTCCAGCTCGCTGCGTCCATGCAGGAGGTCACTGCAGCAGCTTCCCGGTCCAACTGCCAACGCATCCCATGGGCTGCCACGGTGCCGACAGGAATGCCAGTCGTTTTCTGTATGAGCTGCGGGCCGTAGGTCTGCAAAAGGCGTGCAGGCTCAAGGAAGCCGCATGCCGACCAGCTCCCAAGAATCCGCCGGCCCCCTTGAGGGGCCACCAGGCTGCAGGGCGAAGGTTCGCAGTTTCCTGTACCAGTTGCAGCTTCCAGTTTCCACTGTTACAGTTCTGCTTCTTGTTGCTTACTGTTCCTTGTTGACGTCTTGCTGCTTACTGTTCCTTGTTGATGGACCGCGCGAGGGGGGGAGGCCCAAAACGGGCATTTGTACCACGCCCTGAGCGTGTGCTCTGAATTGCTGGGGCGGGTAAAAATTGACACCCCTCACGCAGATCGGCGGGGTCAGGGTCCAAAAACACAAGGGATTTGCCCCATGTCTGAAATTCGGTGGCACCCCTCACGCAGATCGGCGGGGTCAGGGTCCAAAAACATAAAGGCTTTGCCACATGTCTGAAATTCGGCGGCACCCCTCATGCAGATCGGCGGGGTCAGGGTCCAAAAACAAAAAGGATTTGCAACATTTCTGACATTCGGTGGCACCCCTAACGCAGATCGGCAGGATCAGGGTCCAAAAACATGAGGGATTTGCCACATTTCTAAAATTCAGCGGCACCCTTGACGCAGATCGGCAGGGTCAGGGTCCAAAAACACAAGGGATTTGCCACATGTCTGAAAGTCGACGGCACCCCTCACGCAGATCCGTACGGTCAGGGTCCAAAAACACAAGGGATTTGCCACATTTCTGAAACTCGGTGGCACCCGTGATGCAGATCCGTAGGGTCAGGGTCGAAAAACAAACAGGTCCCAACACTGCTTCACGGCGGCGCCCAGACCTCATGATTTAGCTTTTGCATCTCCCATTATCCGAGACAGGGGGCCGGCGGCATGGGGCGAAGCCCTTACGGATAAGGATCTCAGGAAGCAGCGCAGGCGGAGAGACTTGTCAGTGGGAGGGAAGGTGGAGCTCTCGGAACTTTGGCCTCTCCACCTCGAGCGCCCGAGCCCCACAGGTTTTTTTTTCCCACCTTCTCCAGGTCCTTTCGCGTCTGACGGTCCCGCAGGCGCGCCAGGGGGTGACGGGGGGGTAGGATAGGAGTGGTTGTGCAGGTTCGGTGTTTCGCATCTTGACCTTGGAGGGGGCTTGGCCACAGGCCTTCCCCCTCTCGCCGCATCGAAGGCATCGAAGGAGGACGGAGGATGGAGGAGAGAGGGAGAGAGGGAGGGAGGACGGAGGATGGAGGATGGAGGAGGAGGAGGAGGAGGAGAAGGAGGAGGAGGAGGAGGAGGAGGAGGAGAAGGAGGAGGAGGAGGAGGAGGAGAAGAGGAAGAGGAAGAGGAAGGAGGAGGAGGAGGAGGAGGAGGAGGGGGAGGAGGAGGAGGAGGAGGAGGAGGAGGAGGAGGAGGAAGACCAGTGTAAAGCCAAGAGTCGTCAACGATGTTGGCATAAACCCTCCTTCTAAACTCCCTCTTCATAGGCCCCATACAAGGGTTCATTTCCACTGAGGGAGCTGCCTCGTTGGAAGACAACCGTTTGAAGACCCTGAAGCATGCCAACACATCATTCTCAGGACTCCAACGCCACGGATCATCCTGACTGTTGCGTCTTGACGATCCTGAACCGTGCCAGAACGCCATTCCTGGGACTTCAGCACAACGAACCAACGTAACTGCTGCACCCTCATAATTCGGAATCTTTCCCAAACACCACTTATGGAACGTTGACCATGGGAACCAGTGAAACTCTTGCAATTATAAAAACGAATGTGCGCGGCGCGAAAGCGAGAGCCACGTGTTGAACATCACCCGCCCTCAATATGTGAAGCTCTTGCATATGTCTAAAACGAATGTGCGCGGCCCGACATCGAGAGCCACATTTTGAAAACAAATCGCCCTCAACCCGTGAAACTCTTGCAAATGGTTAAAACGAATGCACGCGGCGCTAAAGCGAGAGCCACATTTTGAAAACCGCCCACCCTCCATCTGTGAAGCTGTTACCAATGTTTAAGTTTCAGGGTCTTACATGGTGAGGACGTCTCGGGCGAAACGCCCCGCCCGCCCTTTCGACCAGCCTCGGGGTGCGACACACAGAAGTCATTTATAAGGAAAAGGAATGGAGGAGGAGGATGTGGAGGGGGCAGGAGGAGGAGGGAGAAGGGAGAAGGTAAAAGAGAGGAGGAGGCATGAGGAGGGGGAGGAGGAGGAAGGAGGAGGAGGAGGAGAGAGGAGGAGGAGGAGGAGGAGGAGGAGGGATGAGGAGGCGAAGGAGGTGGAGAAGCAGAAGATTAGCAGGAGATTCGTTCGAACGGTCGACGCCGCGCGGGGGCGCGACCTGGCCGCGGGGCCGCAGTTGTGGCTCAGGCGATCCCGAAGAGGAGGGAGGAGGAGATGGAGGAGGGAGGTGTAGGAGACCAGTGCAAACCCAAGACGCATCAACGATGTTGCAATAAACCATCCCTCCAAGTTCCCTCTTCACAAGTCTCTGCAATAATGCATTGCCATTGCGAGAAGTGCTCCCATCGGAGAACAATTGTCCGAGAATCGTCAACCGTGCCAAAGCACAGTTCCTGTAACTTCAGCCTTCAGCGCCTGGAACCTATGTGACTGTTGCGTCCTGACAATCCTAAACAGTGGCAGAACACAATGCCTGGAACTTAAAATGTATGAATCCTACGAGCTGTTGCAAGTTTTCAAATCGAAAGTGCGAGGCGCTACGGCGAGAGCCACAGTTTGAAAAGGAACCGCCCTCCCAACATCAAACTTGCACACGTATAAAACGAATGTGCGTGGCGCTGCGGTGAGAGCCACATTGTGAAAAAGATCCACCCTCCCTCCTTGAGAACTTTTGATAATGTTACAAGCGAATGTGCGCGGCGCTACGGCGAGAACAACACTTTGAAAACGGGCCGTCCTCCATCCAAGAGGCGGCCGCAAACCTTCAAGACGAATGCACGCGGCGCTGAAGTGTTCATCGCATGTTGACAGCCACCCGCCCTCCACCCGTGCAGCGATTGCCAACTTCAAGTTGCAATATCACAAACGGTGTGGAAGTCTCAGTCGGCCCGCCCACACTACCGACATGCCTGGGGGGGGCGACAGGGAAGAGGTAACTATAAGGAAAAAAGATGGACGAGGAGGAATGGGGGGAGGAAGGATGCTCCGGCTGCGCCCCAAGAGGCCTCGAAGAGGCCCCCAAGACGGCCCAAGAGGCTCCCAAGAGGCCCCCAAGACGGCCCAAGAAGGCCCCAAGAGGGGCCCAATAGAGGCCCCAGCGCGGGAGCGCGAACCCACATTTCGATCCCTCCGCCCCAAGATGACCCCCGAGACCACCAGCAGGCCCCCAAGGGGGCCCCCAAGGCCCCCAAGATGCCCAAATCAGGCCCCAGGAAACTTCAATTGGCCCCCAAGAGGCCTCAAGACACCCACAAAACCTCAAGAGGCTTCCGAGAGGCCTCCCAAGAGATCCCCACATGCATCCAAGATGCCTCTGACTTACAGCCTAGGCGCAGTGGCGGGATGAGCCGAACTCTACATAGATGCATACATGCATACCTGCACACATGCATGCACACATACATGCATGCATACATGCATACCGGCATGCACATACTTATATACATACACACATACATACATACATACATACATACATACATACATACATACATACATACATACATACATACATACATACATACATACATACATACATATGGACGCACATGCATGCATGCATGCATGCATGCATGCATACATACACACATGCATACATGCACACATACATGCATGACTCCGTATACCATACGTACATAGATGCATGCATACACGCATGCATACATATACACACGTACATTCATTCGTTCGTCCACTCATTCATTTAACCCACCGCAAGCATACATACATACATACATTCACGCACATACCGGCAGACAGGCAGACAGACAGACAGGCAGACAGGCAGACAGACAGAGAGACGTACATACAACCACGCATACGTACACACATACATACATATAACCCTGCATACCTACACACCTACATACCGACCTACCTACCGACCTATATACCTACCTACATACAGACATACATACGTACGTACACACGTGCACACAAACACACAAGCACAAACACACCTACCGATCGATCGACAGACACACATGCATACAGGCATACATGAACTCATGCATGCATGCATGCATGCATGCACACACATGTACATGCACACACACATAAGCATGTACACCTACCTGCACGCGCACACATACATACATACATACATACATACATACATACATACATACATACATACATACATACATACATGCATGCATACAGATGCATACATGCACGCATGCATACATACATGATTGGAAACATGCATGCGTGTGCACATACATGCACACATGCAAATGCATATATATATATATATATATATATATATATATACACATACATACATACGTGCATACACGCAACTATACACACATGCACGTACATACATACATACATACATACATGCATACATTACATTACATTACATTACATTTACATTACATTACATTACATTACATAACATAACATACATACATACATTCATTCATACATACATACATACACATAAACACACATACATGCATCCATGCATGCATGCATGTAGACATATACATAAGCATATGTATACTTATATGTAGTGGGCATGCGTGTTGTGGCCATATGTACTTGTGATCCATCTCTCTCTGTATCTCCTTGTCGTCCTCCACCTCCTCCTCCCTCCTTCTCCGTTTCCACTTCGCGGTCGTCGCTGTCCTCCCCCTCCTCATCTTCACCCCCTCCTCCCCCTCCTCCTCCTCCTCCTCCTCCTCCTCCTCCTCCTCCTCCTGATCCTCCTCCGTTCCGTCTCTATGATCTTGCTTCTCTTGCTGCTGCTCTTCCTCCTCCTCCTTCTCCTCCCCCTCTTCCGCGTCTCTCCCCTCTTCATAGTATTTATCCTCCCTCTCCTCCTCACCCTACTCCTCCCCTTCTATCTCTTTTTTTTTCTCTCTCTCTCTCTCTCTCTCTCTCTCTCTCTCCTCTCTTCCTCTTATCCTATCTCTCTCCCTTTCTCTCTGTCTTTATCTGTCTCTCTCTCTCTCTCTGTCGCTCTCTTTTGTTCTCTCTCTCTCTCTCTCTCTTTCTCTCTCGCACCACCCTCGGCGCCGCAACGGGAGGGTCGAGGCCCTGCCGCGGGGGCGCAGGCGTTCAGTCCTGGGGGGGCTTGGGCGCCTCTCGCACCCTGCCCGCCCGTCCGCGGGGGGGCCGCCCCGCACAGCAAGCCTCCTCCTCCTCCTCCTCCTCCTCCTCCTCATTTTGGCTCAAGCGACCGCAAGGTGCCGCCCCGTGCCCTCCTGCGCGCGATGGCGAAGCCTAGAGGGGCTCTTCCTGCTGCGCCGAGCGGCGCCGACCTCGTGGAGGCGGCCGTTCGCGCGGCAATCCTGGCGAAGGGCGCCAGGCGCACGGTGGCCGCTGTGGCTCGTGCGACAGCCGCGGCTGTGCTCTCGGCACGCGCTGCGCCGTCGCCGCCGCCTGCGGGCTCCGGACGCGCCGAGGGCGCCTGCGCCGAGGTCCAGGTCAGGGACGACTCCGAGGACAAGGGCAAGGACAAGAACCTGGGCAAGGTCCTTCGGAGACGCCGCCGCCGCCAGCGTCTGGCGGAGGCGAAGCGTACGGCGGCTGCTGCGGCGGACGCCATGGACGAGGACGTCATCAACGATGAGTGGGCTGATGACCTGCGGCGCGACGCTGCTGGTCGTGATGTTCCTCTCGCTGGTGAGCCTCGGGCCGCTGCGGTGGCGGCTGCCCCCCTGGCGCTGGCGGCGCCCGCGGAGGCGGTGGCGGCTCCTGTGGCGCGGCCCTCGGCGGAGGCGGAGGCTGGCCTTGGGGCGGCGGCTGAGGGGCCTGGCTCGGACACGGCCGTGCGCGCGGAGTTGATCGCGCAGATCGTCGCGCTGCCAGTCGTGGCGGAGATCAGGTCAGCCCACGCGGGCACCTCCGTCGCGTTCGTCGAGGGCATGTCCACCGTCCAGTTGCGCGCCTTCCTGGAGGCGCACGGCAAGCGCTGAGGGCCTGGCCTGTCTGGGCCCCACTGCCGCCGATGGTTGGGCCGCTGCTTGCATGCCCCAGGCGCGCATTGGGTGTTCCCAGGCAGGCCCTTCCCCGTCCGTCGGCACCACGTGTGAGCCTCTCACGGAAGCTCGGTTGGTGTACGGCGGCGGGGCCATTCTTCTTCATGCAGGGCGTGTCTGGGCAACTTAGACGCGTCTCTCGCTCGCTCGGTCCTCCTCCTCCTCCTCCTCCTCCTCCTCCTCCTCCTCCTCCTCCTCCTCCTCCTCCTCCTCCTCCCCCCCCCGACCGTGATGCACCCGAAGCACACGACGCGGGAGGCGAAGAGCGGCGAGGCGCCGAAGCTCGCCGCGAGGCCGAGCGCACCGCGCCAGGGCCGAGGGCGGGGGCCGACCCCCGCCGCAGCCAGCAGGCGCCCCGCCTGCCGCAGAGCGGCCCGATCCCTGGAGCTCTCGCCTCACGCCGACTTGGCCCCCCCCCCTCGGGGGCCCGTGCGCCCACGGCGCCGTCAGCCGAGCGGGTCCAGGGGTTCCAGGCCGTCGGGCTCGTGCGTCCAGGACGCCTTCGTGCCGTCGAGGAGGACCGAGGGAGAGACGCGCCCGCGGAGCGCCACCAGATGGACGATCTTCCCCTCGATCCCCGCCCTGGGGGCCCGTGCGGATCCGCACCCGCATGCCCTTCGCAAGGGGGGCATGGGCGGCAGCTGCCGCGCTGGGCTGGGGGCCCGCCTCCGCGCCGCCGCTGCTCGTGGCCACCCCCGTTCGCCGCAGTGGGAGCTCGTCGGCCCAGCTGTCGTCAGCCAGGGGCGAGGGCGGGGCCGCGCGGCCCAGGTCCCGCGAGCCCCCGCCCGCGCGCGCCAGCACCGAAGGGGCCGAAGCAGCCTGCTCCAGCCCCGCTCCAGCAGCGGCCGTCTCCACCTCGACCTCCATCGCGCCCTCGGTTCGTCCCGCAAGGCCGCCCGCTCCACCACGCCCACGCCACCGTCAGCGCCGCCGAGGGCGGCCTCTCTGTCTCTCTCTCTCTCTCTCTTTCTTTCTCTCTCTCTTTCTCTCTCTCTCTCTCTCTCGTTTTTTTTCTCTCTCTCTCTCTCTCTCTCTCTCTCTCTCCCTCCCTCCTCCCCTCCCCCCGTCTCTCGAACTCTCTCTCCTTGTATCTCCCCCTCCCTCTCTCTCCAATTTGTTCCTCTCCCTTTCCTCCTGCCCTCCTCATCCTCCTCCTCCTGCCCCTCCTCCTCATAATGCTTCATCCTCCTCCTCCTCTCGTCATCATGCTCTTCCTCCTCCTCCTCCTCGCCGTCCTCCTCCTCCTCCTCCATGTCGCCCTGACCGTATTACTCTTGGGGCGCCACCTCTTCTTAGCGTGGGACCACCCCTTCTGCCAGTTGCCCATGCCAGAGTCGCAGTCGAACTCGCAGCCCAGCAGGAACCTGTCGCAGCAGAAGTCCTCCAACGAGGGGTTTCCCCCCCCCCCCCCCCGCTCACCCCACATGAACAGCAACCGTGGATCCCAGGCTTCTGGCAGGTGAGTGCATCAATGCTCACTTCCTATCTTCAAGAACGGTCGGAGGATCTGTCGCGCATCAGGCGCAGGCTGCTTCCAGAACATATATGGGCCCCGCTGCCTCAGTGATTGAGGCAGCTTCCAGCAGTACACGGCAGGATCGTGCCACCCACCGCGTGACTCCTCGTGGCCCTTTATGATGAGTGTCCCCGAGCCACGTGGATCGTGGCGGCCAGGAGGCTCCTCCAACCACTCCCTCCCCTCCCCTAAACCCTCCTCTTCCCCATCCTTTAAGTGGAGAACCGACTACAAAGTCGATTTACCCCAACATCGATTTGTTCGTCGAATCCGTAAAGGAAGTACGTAGGAATGTTCGTAGATCTACGAACGTTCTGCGCATCTTTCTCAAATTGGGGTCAATCAATTCTGTAGTCGATCTCCTACTCGAATCCTCCGCCAATCCTCGCCCCTGCACCCGCATTCTCACTCCCTCTCCTCTGCCCTCCTCCCCTCGCCTAGGCGCCCCGGTTCCCCCGCCCTCTTCGGTTCCTCCTCCTCGCCTCTCCCCTCCCCTCCCCTCCATTCCCCTCCCCCAACCCTCTCCTCCTCCCCTCCTCCCCCTCCCTTCCCTGCCCACCCGCCCCTTATCTCCCTCATCCCCCCTCCTCCTTCCGGCCCCCCCCTCCTCCACTCCCCTCCTCCCCCAGATCGCCTCCCCTCTCCCCTCTGGGCTGCGTTGGGTACGCCTCCCCTGGGCGCGAGAAGCGACGGATAGCGACACCCGCCCCGCCGCAGCCGCGCAAACACGCGACGGGACCAGACCCGAGCCTCGGCACCGCGGCACCCGAAGCAAGCGCGCACCCACCCGAGGACCCGACGACGCCGACGTTGACGACGACAACGACGACGACGCCGACGCAGACGCCGACGCCGACGACGACGCCCCGGCGGGCGAGCGCAGCGGATCCAACAACGACTCCGACCCAGTGCGGCCGCCACCACGGGCAACGCCTCCCAGGACGCCCGCAGGCAGCCCTCGGTCGACTCCAGCGACGGGGGCATCGAGCCCAGCATCGAGTCCAGCTAAGAAGAAGCCAAGACGAGGATGAAATCGGATGAGGATAAATCGAGAATCTCTGAGATCCAGCGGCTCTGGAGGATGTCTCGGGCGCCGCGGCCTTCTCAGAGCTTTCTGGAATGCTGTGAGAGCGTCCCAGAACGGCCTGGAAATGATTTATCCTCGTCCCTGGCCCCGCCCGACCAGGTCCACAAGGTGGCAGGCAGCATCGACGGATGGATCCTCTCCTCAATCGAATCTGGCGACAAGGGCATCAAGTCCAGCATCGAGCCCAGCGCAACCAAGTGGCAGGCAGCATCGACGGATGGAACCGGCGGCAAGCGACACCAGCAGTTCAACGGAACATGAAATTCCAAGAAGCAGGGACCGTCAGGAGGCCTGACTAGAATCAGCTCAGAAAGTCCGCAAGCTACGATAGCGATAACAGGCCCAACGATGGCTCCGCTGGTCTCAACAGCCTCAACCAAGACAAGCACAACGACACGCAACCCATGGGTCCCAAACATCACCAAGCTTGCCCACGATAATACACGGGTCGCCAGAGCAGCACGCGAAACTAGCATGATTGGATAAACAACGTCAGAAAACATCACAGCAGCACGTCAAGGTACCCGGAACGGGAAACATCAACAACCCAAACCAGCGACCAAAAGGAATGGATAAACTCTTGCATCAACAGACTTACGCGCACAGGCGCACCAGCGCCCACACCTAGCATAACAAGTAGCATTGCAACAAACGGTCGAAGACGGATACGAAGCACCACGCACATACATACATTTCGGGGTCGAAGGCACCCTCCGCACCACACAAACCAGCTGGCACGTTCCTACCTCCTCCATTTCCCCTCCTCCCTCATTGCGTCTCCTCCTCCTCCTCCTCCTCCTCCTCCTCCGTCTACCAACCCTCTTCATCATCTCTTCCTCCGCATCGTCAACATGTTTCTACCTCTCCTCCTCCTCCTCCTCCTCCTCCTCCTCCTCCTCCTCCTCCTGAGTCTCCTCGGCCTACTGGCCCTCATTCTCTTTCTGTATCCTCATCCTATTCCTGCTGCTTCTCATGCTGCTGCCCGTCCTGCTCCTCCACCTCCTTGTCACCATCCCCCTGTCTCCTTCTCGTCCTTTCCCCTCCCCTGTCCTTCTTGTCCTCCGACCAGCCCTTGCGCCAATTATCGAGACCCTGCGTGCAATCGAACGACCCGTTCGCTCCGATGTAGAGGTCGCCGTCGACGTCGATGTGGCCGGGTCCTGTGCCATCCTCGAAGTTACCCGACCTCAAAGCCACCCCCCCCTGAGCCAGATCCATGCTGATGCAATAGGTTCGCACTGCCCGATCCCGATCCAAATCCTGATCCTGCCCTGGTCGGCTCGATCCATCCCAGAACGCGGATCGCCCCTGCGATGTGGAGGGCCCGATCCGTCGTACGGATCCCGATGGAACGACGCCTGCCGCTGAAAGCGTGGCCACGAGAACGCAGACCCAGAGCACCGGGCCCCTTCGCCGAAGGCCCCAGGGCCCCATGGAGGTACCCCCAACAGAGGGAGTTCCGGGGTGGAGGGCCCAAGCACGAAGGACTCAGGGGGGAATTACTCTTGCAGAGCTGGGGTTGCCCTGAACCCTTCGCGCCAGCTGCACGCTGGGACAAGACTCCTACCCCCTCTCCCTCTCTCCATTCTTATCTCTGCTCTCTCTTGCCTCCTGCCTGCCTCCTCCCACGTCGTCCTGACTCCTCCACCCTCCTATCTCCTCCCTCCTTCTCTTTCTCTTCATCCTCCTCCTCCTCCCTCACAGGCGTCCTCCCGCTTCTCCTCCTTTACCTTCTCATCCTCCTTCTTCTGCATCATCCAGATTCTCCTCCACTAGTTCCCTCCTTCCTCTTCCTCCTCCTCCTACTCCTCCGTCCCTTTGTCATATAGATACTAACTCCTCCTCGTCCGACCACCAGACGTGTTGGTAGGGCAAACCAAGCGTTCGCCTGAGACGTCGTCACAGCTGATGAGCCTCGACCTTGAACAGTGCAAGAGTTGCAAAGATAGATGGCGGATGGCTCCCTGACTGTGACTCTCGCATGAGCGCCGCGTGTTTGCACCAGCTACGCTGATGCAAGACGGTCCGTTGACAAAATGTAGATCCCGCCTCAGAGCTGGGCGCATTCTTCCTAAGCGCCCGCGACTGTTACAGGAAGTGGAGATGGGTTCCTCTTCAAAAGAGGGCATTCGCCTTCACGCCACGCACGGTCGACTTAAACGTCTGCAGCAGCTACAAGGATGGAGGACTGCCCCTCTTCATAATGGGGCTATCGTGAGATACGTTTTAACATCCTAAGACCACAACAAACTTGAACATACTTCACAGTTGCACGGATAGAAAGCGGTCCAGGATCAAAATGGGGCTCTCGCGATGATGAGGATGATGATGCTACTGCTGCTGATGTTGATGTTGTTGCTGGTGCTGGTGCTGCTGCTGATGATGATGATGATGATGATGATGATGATGAAATGATGAAATGATGATGGTTACTGGGCCTCTCTTTCTGGGTGGAGAATATGTCGAATATGATATCGATGCTGTCTGCATTGCGGCGTTGGTCCCTGGGCCACTTCTGAGCCCAGGAACGCAAACTTCTACAGACCAGAACCAGTTTAAAGCACACCTTCGGTGCCGAAGACGCAGAGAGCAGAGCGTCATTTAGAAGGGAATGGCATTGTGCCGCGAGAGACTTGAGCATAAACACCATGGGACGGACATACACATGGCAACGTGTCGAGATCAAACGGATTCAACGCCGCGCCGGCACACACACTACTGGGCACCATTCTTCGTGTGGACTATATGTCTAAAATGAGAGCGACGCCGTCTAGACTGCGGCGCGAATCCCATGGCCACTTCGGCGCCGAAGAAAGAAAACTCGACAAACCGGAAGCCGCAGCGTCGAGCTAGTCGGTGCATCCCGGATCGTGGAGAACTCCCCATACTTGGTTTCAGGGAGGCCGACAAAGGGCTCGGGCTTTTTCCGCGGGGATCCGAGCGAACAGCCTATTTCATTTAGGGGGGTAAGGGCGGGCGATGGATGTCCACTTCTGGCCCCCAAGCCGCCCCCCCATCAATTGAGAGTGTCGTCTGTTCGTGCGAGAGCGAATGCCTCGCCGGCCCTGACATCGCATGGCGGCGAGCTTTTCCACATCTTTGTCGCGCGCACTTCCACGAAGAAAACGGGCCCCTTCCGACGGCAGGCCGCCATCGCACAATAATCGTAGCCGATTTCGTGCACGCGAGGATTCTGCATCATAGCCCAGGCTCGGGGCGCGACCCACATTCTGTTGGACAGAGGATTTTCCCATGCCCAAATTACGCGAAAGAGATTGAGGCTCTGGCGTATAAGCAGGCGTTACCTTCGACAACCTTCCCCCGTTCGTGAGCGGGGAGATTCGGGAGGCCCCGCAGATTCCAGCGATCGCGAATCACGGGCGCGCGGCCCCTGGCGATGGAGAGGCTGGCGCGATGCCGAGCACGACAGGCTCCCAACGCATCGCCTTTGCGAGTCTTGATGCGTCTAAACTGTTTTCGGTTGGCAAGATTGAACGACCCACCGAATCTGATGTCCCACTCAACAGCTTGAAGCCCTCAGCACGGACGGCCCTGGCCACCCCGCAGCAGCCCGATAACTGATTCTAGAACGCGCCCTCCCTTGCGGCGGCGGCCAGATGGCGGGCTCGGTACCTGGCCCGGGGCGCGCGCCGCGACATGTGCCTCGCAGTCCCTGAGCCTGTTCTGCTGGCCCATCGGACTGCTCGCTCATCTGCGATGCGACGCGGCCGCGCTTCTCGTGCCGCTCCGGGCCCTTGGTCGAAGCCCACAGGCGTCGCCTCTGAATCTGGCGAAGCGCCCGCGCGCTCCTCAGCCTCTCCCAGCTGGGGCCCGAGCGCCTCGTGAGGCATCACACGATGTCGACTCCGATCAGCTTCGACGCCTGCTCGACGGCTCTCAGCGCGCGCGGGTGACCGAGCCCCCAGAGCCGCTGGCCCTGAGGGAGAAGACAGAGCACCTGGAACATGCCGTTCATGAACGCGAGGTACGGGGGCGCTCCGCAGTGCAGCAAGCCGTCGGCGAAAGCGCCCGCCTTGATCGGCGTCTCGCGCTCCCCTGGAGCGAAGAGCAGCCCCCGATGCACGGGTGGGCACCCAGGCCACTGGCGGGATGAAGTCTTCCTGCTGGGCCCCCAGGCGTTCGCGCGGCTGGAGGTGCAAATCGAAAGACACCATCACCCACGGGGCGACCTCGAGCCCGCCCAAGAATATCAGGGCGCAGACCAGCCTGGCCACCACGGGAACACGAAACGGCTTCCGGCTGCGGCCCGGCGCCAGCTGCTTCCACCCCTTCAGCGCCAGGCCGGCGCGCAGAAGCTTGGGCCTGAGCCCCCGGAACTTCCCGTGCTCGGGGCGCGCCGCCATCCAGGTCGCGAGGAGCTTGGCGCCAGGGCTGGTGCTCGCCGCCGCGGTACTTCGCGTTCTCGAGATGGGTCAGCATCACGTCGACGCCCTGGCTTGAATGCCCCGCCAGCTGGCGCCTCCAGCCAGAGTCCAACGCGATCCTCGCGCGCCGGCGGTAGTCGTTCATGACCTTCGGCGTCGCGTTCATGCTCTTCAGGTGCGCAACCCCTCGACGAGGGTCAAGGTTGGCCCCTCTCTCCAGCCCCCTCGTCCGATGGCCCAGGGCGCTTGTGGTCGCTTGTCTCCGCGTCGCTGGGGCCCTCGCTCCCGCGCGCCTCCGCGCCCTCGGCCCCCGCGAGCTCGTCGAGCTCCTCGGGCAGCTTCGCCTGCGCGGGGCGCAGCCTCGAGTTCAGCGAAACGTGGACATTGGATGCGGCAGGCATCCAGCGCCTGCCCGGCCCTGCAGCAGCCGCCAGCGCCCCCCGCGCAGCCCGTGGCGACGCGGCCGTCATCGCCCGCTGCCGCGCGGCCCGGTCGGGGAGCCCTTCGGGCGGCGCGAGGGCGCGCGAGTCGGCCCCGGGGTTTATGGGCGGCTCATCTGCCGCGCCCTACTCCGGAAGGATCCACCTGATCGCTGAGCGAATCTCTCTCGCCAGGCAGATGGCGCAGCACTTTTTGACACGGGCTAGCGTCGCAGAAGTCCTCGGCCAGGCGCCGTTCGAACGCCGAGGCCACGTCGAGATTGTCTCTGGGATAGTGCTCGCGCGCGCCAGCCCCCGGGCCCGCGCGCGCCTCGACGGGGCGTGGCCGCTGCCGCCCGCGTCTCAGGCAGCGCGGCGCGCTCGGCCGACTTCCACTGGCCTCGAGCTGCGACGTGCCAATCGGCCTTCCTCGGCAGCTTGCGCGGCATCTGGGGGGAAGTCAAGTGCCCCCATCGAAACTCTCATCGGGAAGTCCATTGACGTTATCATCGAAACTCTCGAAACCCGCCCGCTGCAGCGCGTGCTGTCCGGCGGAAGAAGACGAGCGGCGATGCCTCGACCTCTCGGGGGCGCGGCCGTGCAGGGCCGCCTCCTCGGGGCGCCGCCGCGTCGAACCAGGCTGCGCTCGCTGGCGCCACTGGCGTCGACCACGCCGCTCCAAGGCGACTTCCAAGAGGCGGAGAGCGCGCCGCGAGACACCCACGGGCTCGGCCTTGACGGACGGCCAGAGAGGGGCGAGCCCGACAGGGTGGGCCTGCGCGGACTTCCACGCAGCGTGGAACACCTACGTGGTCCGCCACGCGAGCAGGCCGACGCTCGCAGTGGCCCGCGAGACCCTCGATCACGCGAGCGCGCGAGCGGGCGCCTTCCGCCGAGCCGGCAGCCAGCGCAGCCCCGCGCCCAGCCGCCAGCGGCGGGCGCGTGCGAGGCGGGCCCCCCGCGCCAGTTCGACTCCGAGGACCTCCGTCGCGGGGGCCTTCTCCAGAAGGTCGCGAATTACGTTGCTTGCGTTCGCGCGGGGGTCGCAGGCGCCCGCGGAGCCAGCGGCGCGCTGGCCCTGGCCGGCCCCCCGCGCGCCCAAGTTGCCCACGTGGAAGTCATGGGCCAGCGGCAGGCCGGAGCCCAAAGACGGCCGGCCCCCAGCGATCAGCTAGGGTGGCAGCAACCCCAAAGCCGGCCCCTGGGCGGCGCGGCACTCGTTGATCGTCTGCGCCGCCGCGAGGCTCGCCCATGAAGAGGGGGGCGCAACGCGGCCGCCAGACCTCGTCGGGGCTCGCGACGTGGAGTACGAACCGCCTCTCGAGCACAACCTCCTCGCCGTCAGCGGGGGCAGTGCGACAAACTCGGCCAACTACTCGCGCATCCTCCGCCTGTGGAAGCAGTCCGCGACGTCGGCCTTCGCCGTTTGGGCGCCGTCGACACCTTCGCCCAGCTCAACGCGGCCTAGACCCTCAGAAGTGCAGAGCTGGACGCAAGGCGGTGGCCTGAACGGTCGATTGACTGGTCTGGCATCTGTGGTCAGCCGCAGCGCCCCGCGCTGTTTCCCTCCTTCACGAAAAACATCGAGGTGAAGTGCTTCGTCGTTTAGGTAAACGAATGATTCTCTTCTGATCAAGCTGGTGCACAAGGCGCCAGGAAAGCTGAGGACTCGACTCCAGCTGACGGTCCACGCACGGCCCAACAGCCCCGAATGCATGGTCTAGCGCATCTACCTCCTCAGAACTCCGCCGATACCGTTCGATGGACCTCTCGAGCAAATCGCGGGCGGGTGCCCCGCAGATCAGGTCCGCATACTCGCGTCGCGGACGTTGTCTGGAAGGGACACCTTGCCCCCTCGTCGGTTGCCACTGTCATGCGCGCCTCGTCGCACGCCGACTCGGCGCGGAGAAGCGCGCGAGAGGAGCATGCCAACTGAGGACAGCTTTCTGAAACCACGCGTGGATCTCGCCATGCACCCGCGCTGCGGCTTCAGGAGCTCCACACACTCCTGGATCGCCACCGCAGCCAGACACGCAATACAGTGCCTGCAGAACCTGGTTGGCCCTGTTGTCCAACGCGCGCCGAAGCCCCACCCGTCGACGAACTCCACGAGAGATTCGGGGAGCAGGTGGCTCGACGGGGAGATGCGGCACAAGACAAGGCACAATGCACATCTTTACGGCGTGCCGCGCCGAGCTCGGGGCTGGGACGGGCTTCGTGGGCACTCGCCCAAGGGGGGGCAGACCGGCCCCGAATGCCGCCCCTGGGCCCTGGGCGCGTCACTGCCCGCCTGCGGCGTTGGTTGCCGCCGAACCGCTTGATCCACCGCCGCCTGCCTGGGACTCGCCCTGCGCTGTCTCGCGCATCGATGCGCCGGCCTCGGCGGCAACTGCTGCAGAACTCGCGGCCCCAGACGACGGCCCCAGATTGGCGGGGTGCGCGGCAGCCAAGGCAAGCAGGTCCCCCTCATCACCTGCGTGCTTCATGGCCTGCGCGATCGTAGCCGAGGCGCCCGTCAGCACCTCCATCGCCAGCGACGCCCCCTGCTCGACCGAGAACGGGGGGCGCAGCGCCGGCCCTTGCATGCCGCCCTCGTCGGGGGCGGCTCGCGCGGCATTAGTCTCGACCTCCGACGCACCCGCACGACGCCTGCTGGTCCGCATGCCGCCTCCACGCCGGCGGTCGGGGGCTCCTGCTCCTCCCTGGTGGTAGGAGGCCGGCTCGAGATCACTGGCCTGAACGCCAGGCAACCACGCGCTGCCGTCCGCGTCCACGCTGGCGAAACCTACCAATGGTCACTGGTCCCTCGGCCGCTGGCGCCGGCATCGGCAGCGCGTCGCTCCTCGGCACCCGCTCCTCGACAGGCGGCTCGGACACCGCGATCTCGTCGTCGGCCCTGGCCTGCTCGAAGGAGCGCAGATCGTCAGCAGACTCCCATCGTCGCGCGCCGAAGGTCGACACGCTGACGCACAGCGTCGGCGACCTCCATGCCTTCGTCAGAACAATCGTCGGCGTCGCCTCCTCCACGAACCCGCCTGGTCGCGACGATCTCCACGTCCTCTGCGACGCCCCACACAAGAAGAGACTGGCCGTCGTCCTCGAAGATCTTCGTTCCCAGACCGAAGACAATGTCAGGCAACGGCACCGCGAAGCCGGCCGCAATCCGCGACCGTAGCTCGCGCACCGACACGCCAAAGCACACCTTGTAGTGGAACCGTCGGACGGGCGTCGCCAAGAAGTTCCGCACCCAGATCAGGACGGTTTCGTTCGCCATGCCAATCGAAGGAGAACACGACGGAACTCCATCCAGCCGGCTGCCGCTCCGCAACCTTAATCGCGGGAGTGCGTGGCGACACTCCTGCTGATTGTTGCCACGAGCGGACGAAATTCTCCGCCTGCGCAGCCGGCGCCACCGGTTCCGCGGTGCTCCGCGGCCACTTGTGAGGCGGAAGCCGAACCTGGCTCCTCGGACAGCTCCTCGCCCACGATCACCTCCCAGCTGTTACCGATCGTCCCAGCCATGAATCGGACGTCGAGCAACCGAAAGATACAGAGAGCGGTGGTGGCCGACAGGAGGTGGTGGCCCTGAAGGCCTGAGAGCGATGCCTCCCTCACTCCTGCGAGAAATTTCATCATAAACAGCTGTTGGAGGATATACACAGGGCAGCATGCCGAGATCAAGCCCATTCAAATCTGTGCAGGCACATACATGATGGTGATGATGATGCGGGGGAGGGGGAGGAGGAGGAGGAGGAGGAGGAGGAGGAGGGAGGAGGAGGAGGAGGAGGAGGAGGAGGAGGCGGAGGAGGGAGGCGGAGGAGGAGGAGGAGGAGTAGGAGGAGAAGGAGGAGGAGGAGGAGGGGGAAGAGGAGGAGGAGGAGAAGGAGGAGGAGGAGGAGGAAGAGGGTTCGCAGAATTCGCCCCGAAGGGATCACTACATGCAAGCTCAGACCCTGGCTGCCAGCAACAGGTGTGAACAGCGTGCGGTGTCAACTGCTGCGGCCAGGCCGTTGCCTCGGCGGCCGGCCCCGGCATCTCAGCTCGGCGGCCAGGCCTGTCACCTGTCAGCTCGGCGGCTCCTGGGAACTCTGCTCCAAAGCGGGACGCAGGCCTCAGCAACCCTGGCAGAGGAGGAGGAGGAGGCGGAGGGGGCGGAGGAGGACCAGTGTGAACCTTAAAACCCACCAACGAGGTTGGAGTAAACCCTCACTCCAAGCTCCCTCTTCAGAGGCCCCCTACAAAGACTCATGTCCAATCAGGGAAGTGCCCCGTTGGGAGACACCCGTTGGAAGATCCTGAAGCGTGCCAGAACACCAGTCTCGGAATTTCAACGTCACGACTCATCTTGATTGCTGCTTTTTGACGACCTCGAATCGTGCCAGAACACCTTTCCTGGGACTTAAACACCCAGAGTCAACGTAACCGCTGCGCCCTGACAGTCCTGAATCGTGCCAAAACACTAGTTCTGGTACGTTAATCATGGAAACAAATGAAACGCTTGCAGTGTTTTAAAGCGGATGTGCGCGGCGTTAAAGCGAGAACCACATGTTGAGAAGAAGCCTCCCTCAATCCGTGAGGCTTTTGCACATGTGTAAAACGAATGCGCACGGTGAGTAAGCGAGAACCGCATTTTGAAAGAAACCCGCCTTCAATCCGTGAAACTCGTTCCAATGTTTAAGAAGACTGCGCGCGGCGCTAAGCGAAAACAGTAGTTTGAAACCAACCCGCCCTCAAACGTGCACGGCGCTGAGACGAGAACCAAAGTTTTAAAACGATTCGCCCTGCATCCGTGAAATTCTTACAAAATCACAGGAAAAATAGTGTGCACGGCGCTAAGGCGAGAGCCACATGTTGACAATGACCCGGCCTCAATCAGCGAAACTCTTGCAAATGGTTAAAACGACTGTGCGCGGGACCACATTTTGAAAACCACCCTCTCTCCATCCGTGAAGTTGTTGCCAATTCTTTAGCTTCAGTATACAAGTGATGAGAAATTCGCAAGCGAAGCGCCCAGCCCGCCCTTCCGACTGGCCTCGGGGTACGACGGGGAAGAATCATTCACAAGAAACAGAATGGAGGAGGAGGAGGAGAAGAAAAAGGAGGAGTAGGAGGAGGAAGACGGAGTGAGCAGGATAATACCGATAAGACAATGAACAGGATGACGCGGACAGTGATGAGGAGGTGAGGAACCAGACGCCCGACGTCATGTTATATATATATATATACATATGTATATATATATATATATATATACATATATAGATATATAACACCATCGACGAAAAGGTTTCGACCCACTCCCTGCGGCCAGCTTTTCACCCTGAGTCGTTGTTCGACGGATCTCGGGCCAGCGAAGCACCCTGGAGGCAGAAGCGTCCAAGAACTCTCCGTCAAGCTTCTGCTGCGCGTGCGAGTGGGTCTGCGAGGGGGCGGGGGAGGAGGGATGAGCATGGAGGGAGGAGGGAGGAGGTGGTGGAGAGGGAGGGCGAGGAGGAAAAGGAGGACGAGGAGGAGGGGGAGGAGGACGAGGAGGAGGAAGACGAGGAGGAGGCAGGAAAGATCACTGTCCGCTGAGGGCCCGGCCACCCGTGCTCGGCGCCGGACGGGGCAGGAGCAGAAGCGACGGCCTCCTCGGGGAAGGGGGCTCCGCAGGTGCCCGGACTGCGCGCGCGGTCCCCCTTCCCCACCAGGGGACAGGGGAAGCAGCAAGAGGGGGAAGTAGGAGGAGGAGGAGGAGGAGGAGGAGGACGAGGACAGCAGGACGAGGAGGACGAGGAGGACGGGGAGGAGGACGAGGAGGAGGAGGAGGAGGACAGGAGGACGAGGAGGAAGAGGAGGAGGAGGAGGAGGAGGAGGAGGAGGAGGGAGGAGGAGGAGGAGTAGGAGGAAGAGGAGGAAGAGGAGGAGGAAGAGGAAGAGGAGGAGGAGGAGGAGGAGGAGGAGGAGGGCGAGGAGGAGGAGGAGGAGGAGGTGTCGAACGATGGAATGGCAGTCCGCCGTCCTCCACTCAACTGGCACTCTTATACCTACTAGATACATAATGCAGCAGCAGACAGACAAGAGCGACAAAATCATTATGCCATGCATTGCATGCAAGCCATGTGTTGCATGCAAGCTGCGTGGTGTGCAAACTGTGTGATGTAAGCCATGCCGTGCAAACGATGTGGTATGGGTTGCAATCCGATGCGCACGGGGGAGCCCGTGGGAGCCCATGAGGCGAAAACCCGGAACTCCCAGCCAGCACCGGGTGCCCACGAGGCCAGCACCAGGCGCCCAGGAGGCAACCCCGGGCGCCCCTCAGCCAAGACGAGGCGCCCAGGCACGCACCTGGAGGAACTCCCAGCCAGCACAGAGCGCCAACCAGGCGAGAAGTCGAACTCCCAGCAAATCCGCCAGGAATGCATGGGCCAAAACACGCTCTCTGTGCAAGCACTGCTTGGGGAACTCTCGGAAGTCTGCACGGATCTCTCTGGCTGGCGCTGGGTCCCCCGGGGCAGGAGGGGGCCGCGCCGACCTGTGGAAAACCGCGCGGACCTCCGACAACTTACGCTCATGTCGCTTGCTCTTGGATGGTGGGCTTGTTTTCCACCACCACCACCATAAGTAGGAGGGGGAGGGGGTCCTCCTCTTCTTCTTCTTCCTCCTCCTCCTCATCCTCCACCTCCTTCCCCCCTCCAACTTATGGTGGTGGTGGTGGAAAACAGGCCCATCATTGGAGACACTGGAGATGGTCTGCTTTCGGCTACTCGCAGGGAGCGACCCTGCAGGAAACCCGTTCGGCGAGCGGTTTTCGGGAAGCTCGGGAGGGGGGGGGAGGGGCAGCCAACCGCAGGCGCACGCGCAAGCCGCCTCTATCGCGTCGCAATCGGCGATTAGGGGAGCCCAGTGGGCCCGAATCAAAGGTCACTCCGGCTAAGGGCCCCTCTTACCTTGTGGATGTAGCCGATACTCCGCCAGCTTCCGCCGGAACTTCCGCCGTGCTCCGCCAGAGAGGCCGTCCTGGAGTCCTCGGGACCCGCGCACGGCGTTGACCTCTCCGTGAGAACGGGTGGTGGTGCTTCCTGGTCCTGTTTCGAACGCGTTGCCCAAGGCCCGAACAACAGGACGTCTCGTGGCCGACCCCGCTGAGAAGTCAACCGAATACAGCGCGACAGCAGTGCTCAACAACAAGATCATGTCGGAAGGGCCACAAGAACGCACGCGCGGGGACCGCCGTGAACCAGGAAGGCGGGCAGGCCCCATCTCCATCTCCGACGTGCCACTCCTACGTACTTGCCCCCACCTCCGTAGGAGCAGCACTGTATGGGGCAGCTCCCCGCTCTCCCCTACACGAGAATGGGAGGGGCTGCCCGAGCACAAGAAATGTGGACCAGCAACTGGATGCATCCTACTCCGCCAGCTTCCGCCCGAGCTTCCGCCGGGTCGGTCCTCGGTTTGGCTCCACCGGCTTCCGCGGCTCGCTTCCGCAGGGGGGAAACGAGGTCAGGCTCTCGCACGCTCGCCGAGAAGGTCTTTCCTGGGGCCAGCCGCCGCGTCAGCCCGCGCCCCGAAAACAAAATAAGCACCTCGGAGCAAGGTGGGGGGCACACGGGATCAGGGCCAGCAGGGACGTCTCGAGGTGCCCACCTACCTGACTGTGCAGAAGGGTGGGAGCCGGGACGCTTCCTGGGGGCCTCCGGCTGAGGGGTGCTGGATCCTCTTGTTAGCGGCGGCATCCATATCGATAAGACCACCCTTCGGGTGATGAGGTTGGGGGGATTGACATCATCATTGATGCGCAGTGAACGCGCAACTCAACCCACGAGTCGACACACATCATAAGATCAACATGTGTTTGTCCGTCCATGTAGTGGTATACGCGCTATGTTATATGTTTGTGTTGTGTTTTCACATATATATATATATATATATATATGTGTGTGTGTGTGTGCATACGTATGTAAATGTATATGTGCGTGTGTATATATATATGTATATGTATACATATATACATACATATATATATATATATTCTGACTGTCGCCGTACTACTGCAGGGTTCAGGGTGGGCCCTCCTCGGGATCTCTTGAAGCCGTTTTCAAGCCGTCTTGGGGGCCTCCTGGGCCGTCTTGCGACCCTCTGGGGCCGTCTTAGTCCCTCAGGTCAATCGACGGGGCCTCCTGGAGCTGTTCTGGGGCGGTCTGGGGGCACAGTTGGGCTGTCTTGGGGCCCTCTTGGACCATCTGGAGCCACTCGGGGAGTCCTCTTGAAGCGTCTTGGACCCCTCTTGGGCCTCTCTTGGGCCGTCCTAGGCTCGTCTTGGGGTCCTCTTGGGCGCCTATTGGGCCATCTTGGAGCGATCTCGGGGGCCTCTTCGGCCGTCTCGGGCGCTCTGGAGACCGAGGAGCCGAGTGCTCGAAAATTGCACTGAAACCGACGAAAAGCCTACATTGCCTCCCGGGGGCCTCTTGGGAGTCGTCTTCGGGCCCCCTTGGGCCCAACTTGGTCCATCTTGGACCCATCGTGGCCGTCTGTCGGCGCTCGTCGGGTCCTCCTGAGACCTCCTGGAGCCCTCCAGGGCAGTCTTGGAGTCATCTGGGGCCGTCTGGGGCCCTCCTGGCTCCAGACACAAGCTTCCCGGAAAGGCCTGGAGTTGTGCCAGGTCAGTTTTCTCTGAATACGGGGGTGGGCTGAATTAGTACAGCTATAACTGTACATGCTTATGCATATGTGTATGTGGATGCAAAGGTATACAGATGTGTCTGTGTCTGTGCCTATGTATGTATGCATGCATGTATGTATATGTAGATGTGTGGATGGATCTGTATGTGTGCATGTATATGTAAATGTTTATCTACATGCATATGCACATGCATGTGTAGTTGTATATGCATGTTTGAATACATACGTAGACATACATACATATATATATGTTTGTGTAGAAATATGTACATGCAGCTGCAAGTGTATGCGTATGTGTATGGTCATGTGTATGTGGATGTGCATGTATATGTAACTGTAACTCTATACGTACATGTACATGTAACTGTTCGTGTGCATGTGTATGTATAGGCCCATGTGTATATGTACAGGTGCTGGTATGTTTTGTGTTTATGTATATGTGAATGTGGCTATGCATGTATATGTTTATGTATAATGTATTGTAACCTGCTTATGCGTATACAAGCATATTTGTATGTGTAGATGTACATATATGCAGAACTACATAAACATATACGCGTGCTTGTTTGTACACATGTGCATATGTATACGTATACCTATACTTATATATTTCTGTGTGTATGTGCGTATAAATGTAGGTATATGTATGTGTATGTGCATGTGTGAACATATGTGTACATGTCCAAGTGTGTGTGTTTGTGTGTGTCTAGTTTTTCCTTGGATTCAATATATCTGTACATGCATATCTGCAGATGTGCATGATTATCCAAACAATGTTTGGCCGTAGGGGTCCGTGCTAGTCCTGTCAGGAACTGGGCCTTGTGGCCGGTCTGGCGGCTTTGTCGTCGTGCCGCCCCGTCGCCGCCTCGTGGCCGCCCGTTGGCTGGGCCGTGTGGCTGGTCTGGCGGCTATATCGTCGCCGCCCCGTCGCCGCGTCGTCATCTGGGCCGAATGGCTGGTCTGGCGGTTATGTGGCCGCCGTCGCCGCCCGTCGCCGCCGTTGGTTTGCACCCCGTAAATTGCACGAGAAAACATGCACGAGAAAAAATCATTCCTGCGGCGCACCATTTGATCGCTCACACCATAGAGTGCACAACACATATAAGAATTCAACCGATTGCAATCCTGTTCATAACAATCAAGTCGGTTGCAGTTCAATCGTTTGCAACCGACTGCGCCACATAGTTTACACCACATGGCTCACGCCTTATAGCTGAGTACGCTAGCTCCTGCTACATAGATTCTCCTTTCTCAACAGAAAATAAGTTCTACCACCCTCCCCTATCCGGGGGTCAAAGATCCCCCGGGAACCGATGCAAGACACATAGGATTTTGCCCCATCGTCCATCCTAAATGTGAATTAACTCTATCCCAGGGGGGCAAGTATCGGCCCCCCCCGCCATCCTCTGCAAACCATACTATGCGCGCGCACTCGTTTATCACAAATCATAGGCTTTCACAAACCCTTTGCAACAAATTGGACGAAGTGCACACGCGCGCGTCGTCGCGCGGGCATGCCGAAATCCTTCAAAAACCTTCGGTTTCGGAAGAAGTTCAAAATCGAGTTCCCAAAAAACATACAAAACACAGGGGTTCGCAACACGGATTTTCAAACAAAAAAACTTACGCGCGCGCGCGCTCTTGCGAAGTCTTAAGAAAACCATGGTTTTTCATTTTTCCAAACATACTACCAAACGGGCTTCGCGCGCGCGCACGTCGAAATCGTTCGAACGCCCTTGCACGCGTGCCGTCGCGAGAACCCTCTGCAAAAAACGGGGCGAAGTGCACGCGCGCTTCGTCGCGCGCGCATGCCGAAATCCTTCAAAAACCTTCGGTTTCGGAAGGATTTCAAAATTCAGTGTCCAAAGAACATACAAAAGCACAAGGTTTCGCAATGCGGATGTTCAACAAAAGCGTGGAAGCGCGCTCTTGCGTCGTCGTCGTCGTCGACGTCGCCGTCCTCCCTCCTCCCTCGTCGTCGTCGTCGTCGTCGTCGTCGTCGTCGTCCTCTGTCTTTCCTCGTCGTCGTCGTCCTCTTTGGCGTCGTCGTTGTTTCCGTCGTCGTTCTCGCCGTCATCATCATTCCTCCTCCCTCATCATCATCTCGTCGTCCGTCGTCGGCGTCTCGTCGTATTCCCTCCTATTTCGTCGCCGTCGTCGTCGTCGTCGTCTTCCCGTCTTCCCTCGTCGTTGTCTTCGTCGGCGTCGCCGTCCTCCCTCCTTCTTCGTCGTTCGTGTCGTCGCCGTCCTTCCTCCTCCCTCGTCGTTGTCGTCGTTGTCGCCGTCGTCGTCATCCTTCTTCCCTCGTCGTCGTCGACGTCGTCTTCGTTGGCGACGTCGTCGTCGTCGTCGTCGTCGTCGTCGTCGGCGGCGTCATCGTTGTCGTCGTCGTCGTCCTCGTCGTCCTCGTCGTCCGGGTTGTCGTCGCCGTCGGCGTCGTCGTCGTCCTTGTCGTCGGCGTCGTCGTCGCCGTCGTTGTCGTCGGCGTCGTCGTCGTCGTCGTCGGCGTCGGCGTCGGCGTCGTCGGTGTCGCCGGCGTCGTCGTTGTCGTCGTCGTTGTCGTCGTCGGCGTCGTCGTCGTCGTCCTCGTCGGCGTCGCCGTCGTCGTCGTCATCGTCGTCCTCGTCGTCGGCGTCGTCGTCGCCGTCGTTGTCGTCGGCGTCGTCATCGTCGTCGTTGTCATCGTCGTCGTCGTCGTCCTCGTCGTCGGCGTCGTTGTCGCCGTCGTCGTCGTCGTCGTCGTCGTCCTCGTCGTCGGCGTCGTCGTCGCCGTCGTTGTCGTCGGCGTCGTCAACGTCGTCGTCGTCGTCGGCGTCGGCGTCGTCGTCGTCGTCGGTGCCGCCGTCGTCGTCGTTGTCGTCGTCGTTGTCGTCGTTGTCGTCGCCGACGTTGTCGTCGGCGTCGTCATCGTTGTCGTCGTCGGCGTCGGCGTCGTCGTCGTCGGTATCGCCGTCGTCGTCGTCGTTGTCGTCGTCGGAAACGTCGTCGGGGACGTCGTCGGTGTTGTCGTCATCGCCGTCGGCGTCGTCGTCGTTGTCGCTGTCGTCGTCGGCGTCGCTGTCGCTGCCAAGTGCAGTTTGGTACCCACCGTCACTGTCTTAAGACGTCGTGCGACCAACTTGCGGGTGGGAGGGTGGGATGCTTGCACGAGCAGTGGAGAGGACAGTTTCAAGACGGTCAAAATGAATTGCACCACATAGCCTACACCACGTGAACTCGCGCCACATAAAGTTCACAGCATACATTTGCACCACATAGATTGCACGACGTAGATTTACGACGCAGAATGAACAACGCTGGTTGCATCACATCAATTGCGCCATGTAGGCTGCACTACGTAGCTTGCACAACGAAAATTGAGACGCACAGATTGCACCACATGTGCTGCACAACGTATGTTGCACCACATGGGATGCACAACGTAAATTCGTTCCCCTTTCCTGCAATAGTACAAGGGCCTACCCCCGTCTGCCCTCCCCCCGGACTTAACGGCCCCCTGTACGTATTGCAATTTGCGCACGATTCTGCCCCATCGTCAATCTTAGATATGAACTCGAAACATCCCAGCCAAACGGGGATTCCCCTCCCCTTCGTGCGCAACAACTTATTATGCGCGCGCTCGTTGATCAAATATCACCAGTTTCCAAGCCCCCCCTGCAAAACACGGGACGAAATGCACACGCGCGCGTCGTCGCGCGCGCTTGCCGAAATCATTCAAACACCTTATAGAAAATTCAAAATCGGCCGTCCTGGAACACATGTCAAAGCACATGGATTCGCAGCGAGAGCTTTCAAAAAAGAACCTGCGCCCGCGCTCCTGCATATTCTTACTACAACCATTGGTTGTTCCAACACTTTCATCAAATGCTACCCAACGTGCCTCTCGCGCGCGCATGTCGCAATCGCAAGAAAGCCTTTGCGCGCCTTCTGTCGCAAGAACCCCTTGCATCAAAAACTGCACGAAGTACA